GGAAAGAGTTTGTTGTTTGGGTTATTATCAGCCCCGTTATCTCTCTATCTAATGTATGGCCCTGTCACCTCCAAATTCCCAGTGAAGTACATGGGACATGGGATCCCCTCTACAAAACCTGCTGTACATCAAAAATAGACTTGTACTAAAAGTGAAACTATACTAAAAGTGCCCTGGGGCATTTGGGATCACTGGCAGTCCAGGGCCCAGGAACAGTTGCCTGCTTGATAATCCAACGTTGTAGAAATTCCAAAGATGGATCCGACTGATCATGTAGGCTAGTTCACCATCTGACCTCTAATGTGACCCCAAATTCTAAATTATTTTTCCCTTACTGAATAATGAAATGAACTTTGTAATTGAACAGGTGTCAGTTTATTGTTGCTATGTGCACTAAGTGTATTTATGTTTGTCTGTGCAGGTTTGTTGCATATAATATTAAATTCTATCCTAATCATCTGACTGCTAAGCTATCAGGTCTGAAATCAGTCAAAATGTCAAAGATTTAGGAATGTTTAGATGACAACATCACGTGGTGCAGGTCTGAATCATAGCCTTGAGTTGATAGGGCAGCAGTTCCCATACAAACATGCACTACATGAATGGTCAGGTTAAACGCTTCTTCCTCCTAAACGTACTGCCAAAAATCGTTTGGCTCTTTTGTCGTTGAAATCGTTGTTGATTTGATGACAGCCAGTGTATTTGATGGTCATGTAAAGACTTTCCTTTCTATGCTGTCCCGCTCTGTGCTCTGAATCCTCTGCAGTCCGCATCAGAAAAGTATCTTGGCATCACTTCTCGTCATTCCTCCGGTGTCCGTTCCGGCGTCATGTGATTCATCGTGGGTTCTCTCGCCCGAGACCGGACCCTCCTCCGTTGAGCTCATTCGTCAGTGCCGACGTCCTCGCCCCGGTAGTCCCAGTAGGGTAGAGTCCCTCTCCCCGCTGTCATCGGTTTGTCCTGCACTCGTCGGCGTGCGGTGGAGCGGAGGATGAGCGAGCAAGGGAAAAGCTCGGCATCCGCCTCTGTCGCGGCCCCGGCACCAGGGTCAGACACTTACAAAGGCTGGCTTTTTAAATGGACCAACTATTTGAAAGGGTACCAGCGACGATGGTTCGTCCTCAGTAATGGCCTTCTTTCATATTACAGGTAAATTTTGCAAGTGCCGTGTGCAAGAATTGTCAGACGCTACTTGGGCGCAGAGCAAGTCATATTTCTGTCGGCGCATCATTACAGCAGGCTGCTTCAGCTGGCTAGCGGTAGGCTAAAGCTAGCTGTCAAAGGGACAGCTGTCTGTTTACTTTAAACTGGCAGCGACAAGACGTATACGTCTTACAGTGTGTTGCGGAAGAGCACAAACATAGTTATACACGCATAACCTACAGCAACAATTGCAGGAAGTTTTTTAACTCAAAGTGACAAACGTGGCTACAGTAAATAGCGACGTTAGCTAGCAAACTAAGCTAGCCTGCTAGCCCCAGTCGGTGCAGATCAGCTGTTCGCTCCTCACCGATACTACCACGACAGCATGCACGGATCTTTTAACGTGTAGTTACGGTTATGAAGTATATGCCCAACAGTAATTACTGTCTTTCATGTTAACAACATTGTTTTTTTTTAATTGCATATGAAAGTCATGACTTTTCATTCATTCGTTCTTTGCATTAGCTAACGTCGCTGATTACTGTAACAAGATATGTTGCAACAGATAGTCTCTGTCATTAACCTTCTGTCTTCGCACGGATCACGCAGTTGCAGTTTGTCAGCTTGACCTTGCTATACAACAGCCTAACACCTGTGGCTCAGGTGCTTCTTGCGTGGGACTCATGTTTCCACAGGTGTTGGTGTGCATGTCAGCAGGCACAACATAGGAACAATGAATGGTTCATAAAGCATGTCATCTCACTGCGTGACATACATTTAGCCTTTCTGCCAAGACTTAACGTTCAGTTTGACTGCTTTTTCCAGCAATAAAAACAATTCTGCTATATTTCCTTATAGGTCACACTGTCTTTGGTGCACATACAAATGGCTTTACAATTTAAACTTAATATTGATTCCCACTATTTTTAGTGCTGCTTGTCTCTGTTGCCTGCAGTATCAATCAGTGAATGGGCCTGACATTTGGATCTTTTGCTGTATGAGAGGAGTATGAAGTTAATGATTGCTACACACCAGGAAGCCCTGAACCACCTGTGTATACACATAGTCCACATAAGTGGAGAGGTGGAGTATTTATTGCAACAGTTGTTCACTTTCTGACCAAGATTGCTTAATTAAGTGCTACACAGCAGAATGAAGGTGCACCCAGTGGCGCTAACCTTACTCTGCTAGTGCTATTTGTCAAACCTGTGCCTGGGAAGTTTAACTGCCCCACAAATCAGACATGATAAAATAAACGTCTAACTTCTAGCTTTATGTGTTGGCCCCAATTGTAATCGCTTGCAGCAATAAACATAATTAATGTGACACTAAACTGATCCCCCTAAGATAATTGTCTTTTCAAAAGTTGTTTTTAACTGGTAGGTTAGAGTGCAACATCAGCTACAATATGAAGCAGGAAGGGATTCACTCCCTAGTTAAAGGCTTTTCTTCAGGGTGAATTTTGTGGCTTCCAGTCCTCAAGGCAAAATTTTGACTTATGCTTCCCTGCTGCTCAGTCAGAAATGCAGCCTTCAAAAATATAATTTTTCAGATTGGATCAAGAACATTCTCTACTTGTTACGCTTGCAGAAAAATCTGATCAAAGCCGGAGCCCATTGCATCTGATGCCATTTAGTGCCACATCTTGTCAAGCAGCAGTCTGATTGTACTTTGTTGTCAGCAAAGTGTTGTGTGAGGGATTTGTTAATACTACTACTACTAATAATAATAATAATAAGGTCTAGACCTTACTTTGTAAAGTGTCCTGAGATAACCTTTGTTGTAAATTGGCATGATATAAAATATTGAATTGAATTTGACACAGAGATATGGCTAAAGGCTTAGTCCTGCCTGCCCTTGTGGTGAAAGGAAAGATGTCTGTTGCAACTACCCTCTATTAATAGTCTATTATGTTGTAAGGTGACTGCTGTCCCTGAAGTAAAGGTAGCCCATTGAAGTACAGAACCAGTGAAGCGCATGAGTTGCACCCACCACTGATGTCTTCTGGCAGACCACATCGTGTGCGTCTGACTTTGCGTGCCTTTGTATCCACCTTCTTTAGCTGATTAACACTTGTATTATGAGTGAGGTTAAAGGCAGACAGTAAGACAAATGTGACAGTATATTAATTAATGTGTCTTCATGGTATGTCAAGTTGTAACTGTGGTGCACCTCAGATGTACACTTTCTGAAACACATTTTTGTTCTTGTCCACTGTGCAGCGATCTCCCTGACCAGGAGTAAATAAGCAGTGCAGCCAAAGTCACAAAGTTTGACTTATTTTTAACTTTGATTCTTAATAATGTATGGTTTATTCTTTCATAGATTGGGTGTTTTATTTACTTTTTTACATGTATTTCATTTGTGCCACCCATCTCTGAATATGTCCCCCAGCCTGGCCACCCCGCCCAAAATTTTCTAGGTCTGCCCGACCATAGTCGGTGCTTTGCCTTTGTGGACAGACTGTCACACTCAGTATTTGCATTTGTTAAATTGAAATGAGTTTTACAGAGATCTCACTTTGCACTTGTCATTAACTACATGGCTCTGACACTGCAAGACTGACTGTCTTGTGTATTTTAGTTTAATTCACCCAATTGAATTTCCTAAATTTTTAATTTCTTAATTTACTTTTCCTCACAGTTTTAATACTCTCATCATTACTTGCTCGTCTCTTAAAGTAAATCTGGCTTGGTGCTTTTGGGAAGATTACAGGGCATTAAAGCTTTGAGTGCTATTGGAGCTGGTATATCAGTGAATCCTCCTTGTCTTTCATAGTAGACTAGGCCTGTCACGTTTCCTTCTCAGCTCTCAGATAGTATCATTTTGAGTGCTCAGCAGGGGTTTGGCACCATTCATGTCTCTTTGGAGAGTCAGGTTATGGTGTCACTGCTGTCACACTTGGCTCCTGGGTGCAGGGAGGCAGAGTAGGAGGCATGTGATAAAGCCTTGTCTGAACCCTGTTTACTAGCCTGGCAAGTCAGCAAAGTGACTGACTGCAATAAGAGATGTGGATGCTGTTGTCTAATCTGGATAATGGGCTCTTCATTGGTCTTAGCACCAGGCTACAGAGTGTGCATGTATGCCTGTCTAGGGGGTCTTTGTGTTTTTATGTGAAGGTGAAGGCAACGGAGTGATGTCTGGTTACAGTCACACCATATTGTTTCAGTCACTCAGCGGGTCATGTCATGCTGTTCATTCTGCAGTACCATTGCTTGGGTTGTCTTATGTTTCTTTATTGTCTTCTCTCTATAGCTGCACATTCCCCTGTATCTCTCTGCCTTTTCCCCTAAATCTTCTTTAATATCACAGCCCCCAGCCACAACAGAACCTATGTAGAGTACGTCCTCGTGTTCTGGGTTCTGTGTCCGATTTCCTCTGCCTGTCTGTGTATGTCTCCTCATGCTCATGGCCATCTGTTCTGTGTTGTTCACTGGTTGCTGTTCTGTCATTACATGCTCCAGATCGGTGGATTTGTGTTTTATGAGGATATGTGCACAGGGGACTGACAGGTAAAGCACTGCAATTCTTTCCTGCCTAAGCACAACATGCAGGACCCTCTCTCATGCCCCACTCAACCTCACACCCTCCCTTACAAGCGCATTAATGCCCTTGTAATCCTTATCTCTCTTTCCCAGCTTTTGTAGTTTCCTTGACTGTTACATTTCATGGCCTGTGCATGGCCTCGCCTTCCCACAGGGCAGAAGCAATCAGCATGGATCTCATTTTACTCATCAGCAGCACATTCAATTCATTGAGCAACTTACAACCGGGACTCTGCAGCCGAGCTCGTTTGGGCGAGGCTGAAAACTGGGCTCTTCAGCATCTCTGCCCACGCCCTGCACAGCTTCACATGACCCCAGTTTGGTCTTGTCTGCACAACTGATGTGCATCAAGTGCCAGCAGATGAGCGGTACACTGAAGTGCTTGTTCTGGATTGGCATTCTAACAAGACTTGAATTCAGTCAGAAGAAGCAGTGAGAGGGAAATCACTTCCCGGCTGAACTTAGACTTACACTTCAGCCCCTAACTTAGTAAGGCAGCAGCCACCTTGTCAGTGTCAGTGTAGAGCTTAGTGCTGCTGAGAGGCAGTTGCTTGTAGCAGTGAGGGTTCACCCACAGACAATTCCACATGATTGCATGGCTGCATGCTTCAAAGTGGCTGTTTCCAAGGGTATGCATAGGCAATTGTGACATGAACAGCTGAGGGTATGCTCATTTCATTTGAAACAACAACCACAGCATGTGATTTTGCTGATTAGTTGCTGCTTTCTGGTTGAGGGTTTTAATCTGCAAAATGAGCTGACTGTGGTTGGACTGAAAACCTGCATACTCACAGCTCTTGGAGGGATGCGATGGTCCATCCCTGCCCTGCAGCTCAGCTTACTTAACTGTGACAGAATGTCAGACAGCTTTCCACCAAAAATTAAATGAAATGTTTCTCCTGAATTTTCACTTTTTCAGTTAATCAAATTGCTTGTAGTAACACAATTCTTACAAGAGCATGTTATAGAATTGAATAATTATGCATATTAATGAATGACACTTTATGTGATATACTGGAGAATTAATTGGAAAAATACAGTGTATATTCTTGTCTTGCACAATGTGTGCATGCTAGACATACACAACATTTTGCTGCCCTTTCTCTTTGTTCCGGTCTCTTGCCTTGATATTTTGGCTCTTTCTTACCCGCTATGTCACTCACTTATGTTTTTACCACCACCACTTTGTTCCTTCTTTATTCATGCTGGCATTCATTGTTTGGTTTTGCTCACTACAGAGGCTTGGAGCTGGACAATGGCCTTGTTATCTGGACTACTGTGGCCCACTGAATGTGCAACAGTTGGTCTTAGTGGAGGTTACATAGAATACCCACAACAATGCAGGCGGGTCACAGTGCTTGAATTAGAAGTTCACATTGTCCAGTTTCTTTTACATTAGCTAATGCAGGTTTAAGTTTTATGAATGAGTGTGCTTCAGAAATGGTGTGTATTCAGTGAAATGACCAGATGCTTCCACTGCTGAATAGATGGCTGAGTGATTCTTGGCAGTCTTGTGTCCCCTCTTGCCTTCTTGCTTGTGCTTATTGGCCATAGGAACGTCAGTTGCACTATCCCACCTACTTGCTGAATTACAATAATGATTTACAATGTTATATTTATGAATGCCTACCTGTCTTTCTGCCTGGTGTTTTCTCACAGGACGCAGGCAGAGATGGCACATACGTGTCGTGGAACAATTAACTTGGCCACAGCACACATCGACACAGAGGATGCCTGCAATATTGTCTTGAGCAGTGGCGGCCGCACTTATCACCTGAAAGCTAGCACAGAAGTGGAGCGGCAGAGATGGGTCACGGCCCTGGAACTGGCCAAAGCTAAAGCCATCCGCATGATGAACGATCAATCTGGTAAGGGCAGCTGAAGCAAGCAGCTGCTTACAGTATATGGAAAATGTAAGCTGCATGACATGCTTTTTATAGTGTAAGTGCAAGCTCCAAGAGCATAATGCAACCACGAGGCACAGGTCTAAGCCATTAATTGTTGGAATCTACACTAGATAAATAAAGGCTAGGCTGACACAGTCTGGGCAAACATACACGAGTGTGTTTATCTTGTGATCAGACTGTTCAGTTATTGAGAGTCCTGCAAGGGGAAAGGTGTTCAGTACTGATTCAACATATTCATCGTGGTTCTCAGAGCCTCAATATGTATATGTATATATATAT